TGGGCTAAACCGCATTATGCCTAATACGAAAGGCAATTACACGTTACACTTCACTTTATGTATTCAGGAATCGAAATTGCTATGTCGAACGCTATAATGGTTCTAAATATTGAGCAGAATATGACAGTGAATCAATGGCAAAAGTAACAGCAAGATTTAAAAATGTAAAATTCTAGGAAGCTGCTATTTTGCGCGACATTCATCAAAATCACACATTTGCAATACTTTTAGAACATAAAAATAATAGGAATTAAAAAATGTACATATAGAGTTGCCCCAAATTTTATTAAAAATCAATAAAAAGTTACCTTATTATTAGAACAGGAATGATAAATCAACTATCAAAATAGATTTAGTGACAAGTTGCATAATATAAAACAATAAGTCACTGTACATTTATTTTAAACTCTAATTCTTTTCAGTCAATGGCTACATGTTTGGGTTAAAAAAAAGTCACATGATTGTATATTACAAATTGAGTGTATCATCGTAAGAAAAAATTGAAAAACTCGAAAACTGTGACTATAAATAATAATTTTGACTAACTCTGCAAGAACCACTTCTTCAGTAAAATCAGTATTAGAAAGAAACAGTTCTTTATGGGATGATAAACAAGGAGGTAGGTTGGTATGAGGTTCAGAGTTGAACACGCTGTGGAAGAAGTCAGCCAAAAGATTGGCCGATTGATGTTCATTAGCCGCAAGTGTGTTGTCTTTTTTGCATATAATTGGAACTAAAACTTTGGATAACATCTTACCACGAACAAATTTGTAGGACCTCTTTTTGTCACGTTCGTTCAGTGCTTGGTACGAATATACTTAATATGAAATGTATAAGTGTTTTGAAAGACGAGATCAGACAAGATATTAGTAAAAATATCCCACGCTTCAATGGAGTTGGCGGTGTGGTAAAGAGAATTCCAGTTTATTTTGTCCAGGTCAGAATTTAGACCATCAAAGTCAATCCTAGCGTATTCTCATCGTTCGTATCTTTCTTTTGGTGGAATGTGATACTGTAAGAAAGTTTCAATGATGCAGTGGTCAGAAATGCCAATTGAAGGCTGTTGACTAATTTCACATAAAAGATTGGGATCGTTCGTAAGAATTAAGTCTATTACGGAAGGTGTTCGTCCGAAACGAAAGCGAATAGGGAATGATACCAGCTGCATTAAGTTAGTTTCCAAAAGAAGGTCACCGAATATTAACAGGTTAGAGTAACGGCTGCAAAACGCTTTCATATCCTCGAAGAGGAGTTGATCTTCGACTACACAGGTTCCGGGTGGTCGGTAGATACGTACCAATGAAGTACACCGTAGTTTTTACTGCAGCTTGTAACTAAAAACTGTTTGAAAAGTGTTCTATTTAACAAGACACAAACTCCTCCTCCACATAACCAATTATTTTTCTGTATGGTCGCCTAAAAACGTTGTGTTACCTCGAGCAAAAAGAACTTTTCAGCCTCATCTCAAACTTCAAATCGGCCGAAGACGTTCTTCTTTATGGCCTTGATGCATAAATAATATTGTTATAATAAAAAACCTAAGTAATTTTAAAAATTCATTTTTCATAATTATTAAGAAAATATTTACTAATACTGACAGGTTCAATTTAAAACTTATACTTTACGATTAATAGAAAAAAAATTGTCATAATAATTACTCCTATTACGTTTCACTATCTTAAATATTTATTTCAGTTACAGAATAACATTTTTTTAACTATTTCACAATAATACGAACAGTCGCCATCTTTAGCTCTTATGGAGTTTTCAATACATTTTCAAAATATAATATCTCCATTATTGACACACTTATTATTATGAAATTTTAAATATAGCCTATCCACAACTTCCTCTGTAGTTTCTCATCATCTTTTTAGTGAAATTTTTCATCACAAATGATATTCAGTAAAAGCAGCTTAAGTCGAAGAAACTGCACCTTATTAAAAAAAAAGACAATGTTTCCCATACAATTTATAGAGTTTAATGAGCTGAACTGGTGAAAACCGCGCTCCAAAGTTTTCATAAATAATTTAGATATTGATTTTTAATGATACATGATGAAAAATTTCACCATAATTTTAAAAAGATGATGTTAAACTGCAGTACCGGTTCAATACGGTAAGCGAAAGATGCACCGCATCGGGGCGCCCGTGACCGAGGCGCCCATCAAAAACTTTTCAGAAAAAGCTAAATTTTAACATTTCACTATGGGGAGTGGTTCACCAACACAGCGCAAAAGAAGTCAATTCCTGGCACTTGACTGTAAACTGTAACAATTAAAAGGGAGTGCGCCTATAGGTTAGGTAATTGGACCTTTAGATCAATACCGACAAAAGGTACTAGATTTATGACTGCATTTCTGGGTTACAAGTCTATTTTGCAATATAACTTTGAGACTACAAAACCGATTGCTCTGAAATCTTGTAAATATTTTAAGTTATGGTAATCATAGCAAATCGTTAAGCAAAATTTATTCGTTTATTCCCTCCCAAAAAAAAAAATTATGACGTCATCTCAAAATTTTGCCGAATAAATGCTCTTTGAAATATGCAAAATATTATTAAATCGGGAATCGCTCACTCCGTTTTCCCGAAAATTTGGAAATACAATACTGTTATCATTAGTATTACACTGCACCTATCAAAAGTGATATACGTGTCTTTGCAAAAATGATGATGACGTCATCACAAAATTTTGTTAAGGGAAAACTCATTTGGAACGTACACCCAGCACGTTTCTTTACGTTTACTTTAACGTTACATACATATACAGGGTGCCGCATCCAAGTCTGGATATAGGGAATTAACATGCGAATTGGTTTTTATTTTATAATATCTCCCCAGATCACTTTAAAGCTATTATTGAGTGATGGCTTTGTGGAGGTCGAAGAGGGCTATCGGCCAGTATTTTTTTCAAATCGTTGCATCGCGCTCATTCACTGTAAAAAGGTTTTAAAAATCGTATTTTGAAATTCGCGCCCGATCCGAATTGTCGCGAAGTGTTCCGTCGTACTGTCGAAGTTCGGCGATCGCGTATTTTCATTACCCATGCAAAATTCAAATGTCAAAGTGAAATTAGAAATTATTCTCATCAGAAATCAACGAACAAGTCAAACTGAATTATTTTATCCAGTGTGATGATTATTGTAGGACAAATTAAACGGAATAAATGCACAAATTGATCCATTCATTCGTCATAGTGCGCGACCCCGTCAAACGAGCCATCTCGAACTACAGTCAGACCGTATCCAAAAAGCCCAAGATGAAGACTTCAAGACTTCGAGCAGCTGGTCTTCCTCAAAACCCCATCAAAGCCCATCGGCAGCATTGCGACATTTTCTGGGAGCCCTCAAGCTAGGAATGTACTCGGGCTGCCTCACTCAGTAATCACTGAACGACTCAAATTGAATTATTTTATCCAATATGACGATTATTGTAAGTCAATTTAAAAGAAATAAATGCACAAACTGCACAAAGTATTTTATTAGGTTATGTAGCTGGTGCTGATCGAGTCTTTATTACTAAAATCTCATTAAAATGCCATGTTCTACTGCGATTAGATGAAAAAGCGAGGGCCCGCTTTTCTTATTGTGTGATGATAAGATTTACCATCAAAATAGCTGGCGCTTTTGAAGAGGACCTTTTAATGAACCATTTAGATAACTACAAATAACAAAACTTAACAATTGTTGATGAATGAAGTAATGAAATATTGTACGAATCTGGAGAAGTATTGCACTATTTTCAAGAATTGCTCAAAAAGACTGCTCTCAGCAGCTGTACAGTAAGTAAGCCAATCTTCAAAACTCCTACGCGTGTTGATCAGCATTTTAGTTGAAATCTGAAGACAATATTGCTGGATTGCTTGTTTCAGCGCTTCTCTGTTTGTATAGCTTGTCTGAATAATAATAATAATAATAATATGTATTTGCCCAACAGATACAAATCCATTAACAGGACAAAAATAAATACAATTCAGACTTTACAATTAAAACTAAAATAAAATAAAATATAAAGATAATGAGAACACTCCATCACTTCTTCTGAAAAAATATGTCCGCATAATGATCATTGGCATTCATTCTGAATGCAGATGGTCGTGAAGAAATCTCCAAAGAAAAAATTCTCAGGGGTTTATATCCGGCGATTGCACAGGCCAATGGGGCGGTGCAAACTTTCCATTCCAACATTGCGGAAAAATACTGGTTCAAATAAACAACATTTATGCGAACTGTATGGCTGGAGATTTGGTCCTGGATGTAAAATACCTGCTGCAGATGCCGCACCCTTCGAGTCCCAGGAAGTATTTGCTGAGCTAGCATATTATCCTACTTCTGAGCATTCAATCCGGATTCGATGAAAAAAGGTGCAATGACATGATGTCCTAGAAGCCCCAGTCATACACTGACAATTGCACGCCATTGATAACGAAGGTCATGGACCACGTGAGGGTTGTGTAATGCTCAAATTTGATCGTTCTGACGATTATAACTTCCCTTAAGACCAAATGAACGTCAGTAAAACAAATGTTCCTCAAAAGCTCTCCATCAGCCTAGATTCTCTCAAGCGTTCCTTCGTAAAACTCTATGTGAGAAGTAGTCCTCAGGCTTCAATTTTTTGTCATGATGCTTTTTGAAATTCTTCTATCTCATCCGTTTAAGATCCCTAGAAAACGTGCCCACCTGATTTTATGTAATTTTTATCACCTTTGAAAATAAATGTAACTTTATTTTGCGAAATATTATTTTTATTTTTGTTGTTGTTAACACAATAAACAAATAAAACAGTAATACAAAACTTTCTGAATCTCAAAACAGATTCGTAATAGAGAAAAATACTTTAAAATGTTGATGAGTCAATGTTCTACATTTCTCTCTCAAAAATTTCCTGTAATGAAGATGCTTCATGGAGGCAAAAAATCCATCCCTGCTTAACGAATGTAAAATCAATTGACTTCCAATCTTTAGTGATTCCAAAAAAAAGGGCGAAATTTATCCAAATTACCTACTAATTAAATTAACTGTTGAAGAACATGCAGGCCCCCGCTTTTTCATCTAATCGCAGTAGAACATAGCATAACCTAATAAAATATTTTGTGCAGTTTGTGCATTTATTCCGTTTAAATTGACCTACAATAATCGTCATATTGGATAAAATAATTCAATTTGAGTCGTTCAGTGATTACTGAGTGAAGCAGCCCGAGTACATTCCTAGCTTGAGGGCTCCCAGAAAATGTCGCAATGCTGCCGATGGGCTTTGATGGGGTTTTGAGGAAGACCAGCTGCTCGAAGTCTTGAAGTCTTCATCTTGGGCTTTTTGGATACGGTCTGACTGTAGTTCGAGATGGCTCGTTTGACGGGGTCGCGCACTATGACGAATGAATGGATCAATTTGTGCATTTATTCCGTTTAATTTGTCTTACAATAATCATCACACTGGATAAAATAATTCAGTTTGACTTGTTCGTTGATTTCTGATGAGAATAATTTCTAATTTCACTTTGACATTTGAATTTTGCATGGGTAATGAAAATACGCGATCGCCGAACTTCGACAGTACGACGGAACACTTCGCGACAATTCGGATCGGGCGCGAATTTCAAAATACGATTTTTAAAACCTTTTTACAGTGAATGAGCGCGATGCAACGATTTGAAAAAAATACTGGCCGATAGCCCTCTTCGACCTCCATAAAGCCATCACTCAATAATAGCTTTAAAGTGATCTGGGGAGATATTATAAAATAAAAACCAATTCGCATGTTAATTCCCTATATCCAGACTTGGATGCGGCACCCTGTATTTATTTTACAATATAAGAGTTCTCATAAAAAAATAAAATTCACATAATCAAATTTTATGATTTTTCGAAAAAGCTAGATTTGCCAATAATTACTATAATTTTTAGAGGTCGTTAAGCAGTACGTTGTATCGGGGCGCCTGGTCTGTTAGAGCCGGCCCTGTTAAACTGTTTCAAGAAACTACTCTTGCGTTACCCAGCAAGTTGTGGACAAGTTATATTTAAGACTTGATAACAATAGGTCTAATCTGTCTAATAATAGACACATTACGTTCTGAAAAGTTACTAAATCCCATAAGAACCAAAGGTGGCGACTTAACAGATTTTGATTGAAGTTTTATTAATTTCTTTCTCAAAAATACTCCTATTATACAGGGTGTTATTGAAAGGTACGTACAACAAAATGGACAGTTCTTCGCGAAGTCTAAGAAGTCGGAAAAACTTATTTTGTGTTATCAAAATTATGAGGGGAGAATTAACCCTTATCCAACCTTTTTAGACGCTACTGAAGGATAAATAGGTAAAATTAATTTATTTTAGTAAGTCCTAGCAACTGTAAGAATAAAACTTTTGTCAAGACTAAATGTTGCTATAGAAACGAAAGATGATCTTTTTATCAGAGACGAATTTGGACATAAATTTTAATAATTTTTATCTGTAAAAGGAGAACACTTTTACCTGAACTTTTTTTAACTTTTAACACCCATACTTCGAGACCAATTGCCGATTTTATTTTGTACGTACCTTTCAATAATAGGCTGTATTAGTTAATACTAATAAATATCTTAAAACTATAAAGATAAAAAACAGACACTATACCTACCTACTTCAGAAACATCGCACCCTTTACACATTCGCTTATTATTACACAAAAGCTCCTATTTCACATTTCGGGAAACATCAGCAGTTGATAAAACAGTGTTAACTCAAACGTAAACTCTAAACACCATTAAGGATGTACTTTAGAATCTAATGCTACATGCTCTGTATTTTCTCGTTCCTTGTATGCAACTGAACCTGCTTGTGTATACCAGTAACAACAAAAACATTAATTCTCTCTTATTCATATTCACTAAACAAAAGTCATATTACCAAAATTTTTAGCGTTTGTTACAATTCCGAACTCACATTTCCCATAGCTCTTTTCGTTATTTAATCTCAAATTCATTATTTTGAATGTCAGTGAAAAGCGGATGTGGATAATGGAAAGAGCGATTTTGACAGTCAAGCGGGAGTAAATGGTGGCTCGGGAGCACCAGGATCAGGGGATCACAATATAATTAAAGAAATTAGCTAGAGAAAAAAAATAATTTATTTTAAAACAAGAAGTGAAGGTTTGATTACATTAATTAACAAATCGACAACCAGTTGATTTTGAATTTTTTTCAGGAGCAAGTATACGATAAAAGAAGAACGAATCGGATATAAAGCCTATATGTTGCTAATCATTCGACTTTTCTCTACAAATGACGTTGGAAAATACAACTGTGTGTCGACTAATTCGCTCGGCAAAGCTGAAGGCACCCTCAGATTATACGGTTAGTGTAGAAATATAGTTTTACGTGGAACCTTTATCGATTAAATATGAATCGGGATAAAGACAGCATTAATCTAACCTTCTTCCTGATCTACCTTCGTTTTATTCCTCGATTCATTCTGTTGTCCTCGTTGAAGTTATTGCTGTTTGTACAGGGTGATAGATCGTTTAAAAGAGGAATTTCAATATAATAGTCCATTGTTTCAATTCAACGTTCGTTCCGTTCTCCACCTTCAAGCGGGTCGAGTCCAAGATAATGGAACTTTTTAAACTCTTTCATTTCTTTAATTGACTCTATCGGAGTTACCTTGAACCCGAGATCCATGAAAACATAAAGGATTAAAAGATAATTTACTTGTCTAGAACGCATTTAATTCTTGGCTAAACAACTCGTCAGGGTTTCGTGACTCGATAACCGACCGGAAGCTCAAGGTATGTATTATATAAGATAACTACCGAACAGATTTTTACCCTGGTTTATCTACAAATAATTTATTTCCAATTGTGACAGTTACATAAGGATTTATTTTTGAATTTCTGTATATAGGGTATCTATCAAGGCGCTATTTAATGTTGTATACAATTTCTGATCACGTCCTCTTAACTTTACTAACTGGGTAGGTTCTAGTTTGTTTCGAAACTTGTGTACCACACTTTCTAACAACTGCATACTTTTCCCGTCTTCTGCTTGTCCTCTGTTCATACTAGAAACTGCGTTTCTAAAACCGACATTAAACTCTCTCGACAAATAAGCTGATTTTAATACCGAATCCGCCAGATCGGTATCATCAAATTCTTCAGGTAATTTGTCCCTTCCGTAGAGTAGCAAATTTAATTTTCTTTTGCCATCCATATAAGTTTTTTCTCTCTTTTTCATTGATACACTATCCACTGTTGATGTAGATCCATCCAATTTTGATCTATTCAGGTTTCTATTATGTCTTTGTCCAAAACTAAAATTATCAGCTTGTGAACATCCGTTCTGCACAGTTTTCGGCAAAGTAATTAGATTATTATTTACATTGCTTGAAATAGCCGTTATGTTTTCACTAGATTCATCTGGCAAATCAAAATTATATGAGTCTGCTGACGAAGAAAAGTTATCGCAATTTAAAATAGAATCTTCTAACCGAGGATCCTGAAATCGTGCTTTGCGAAGTTTACTGTGTAACCTAACACACTCAGGTTTTACATATTTAGGATATTTTCTGCCTACTGTGTTTTTTTTATAATCTGCTGAATATGAAAAACTTTTCAGTACGGATTTCAACTGTTTTTCGTTATTGTCCATCTCTACAACTTCACTAGTGGTACTTCCAACTTTAGTATCAAAACCATGTTCAGACTTCAACAAGTATCTTATTTTATTAATTTCTTTTTCAGTGGCACTTTTGAATCTTAGATCTTGTCGAAAATGATCACGCCTTAAAAGAGGTTTTAATCTATCTTGGGATTTGTTAACCAATGCTGACCGAAAATCTTCAACTTTTCTTTTGTATACATTTTGACGTTCTTCTAATCGTGGTTTCTTTTTTTCTAGAGATAGAGTTTTTTTCTTAATCGAGGGTTGAAAACCGTGTGTTTTTTCATTATTTGTATTGGAATACAATACCTTCACTTCATTTTGCTTTTCCTGTTTGTCTATTTCATTTTTCTTTCGCTTATCAACGTAGGCTAAAGTTAAATTTTCCACATCTTGTAAAGTTTTATAACGAATTCTTGTCTTATTCAAATACTTCTTTTGCAGTCTATTTAACTGTCTGCTGTCGTTGTTTATTACTGAATGTTGTCTATGTTTGATCTCTTTTTTAACATCTTCGTCAGTTTCCGATTTTTGTTCCTCTAATTTTCTAGCAATAAGTTTCTGAAGTTCCTGAAGCTGTTTATGCGCGATTTTTATCTCATCATTAGTTTGCTCCAAAACATCAGTGTTTTGTGTCTGCACATCTATCTGTTTCAGTTTTTCGAGAATCTCCAATGTTGAAGACTTTTTCTTAATGTTATCTTGCCTGAATCTGGATTCTTTCTCTTCTAAACCCAATGGAATATTACTTATCGGATATTTAGCTAGTTTTCGTGCTGTTTTTTGAACACTTTTCGTAGTTTTAACCGGCTTTGAAGACACATTGTTGATTACTACACTGTTTTCAGAACTGCGACAACGGAAGACTTTTTTTGTTAAATTAATAGATTGCACCTTAATGCTATCCTGTAAAAGGATGTCCAAAGACTGATTTTTATTCTTTTGATTCATATTTTTGATGTCAAATAAATGCCAAAAATGTCATAACTCTGCTCGGTTGCTACAAACTGTTTATAATTCAAACAATCTATTTCAGAAATTAAAGTTGGACCAGGTGGACCTACCGATAACCATGTGAGCATAGTAGGAGGTAAGCAAATAAGTGAGTTTCGTAGCCTGAATTGCATGCCATTTTTTATTCGAAATAAAACTATAAAGAGGAATTTTGCCGACGAGCAACATCCTCTTAACATAAAACTTAAATATCACGTTCCATTTGTTCCCAGAATGTTTTTTACGTCCAATTTCATCAAACGAATTATTCATATTACACGTTCCGGTTTCTAAAGTATAGTCTGGTGAAAAGAGTTTTTTAGTAATTTAAATCCTCGAAGAGGATGCCTTCCTTTCTCCTAAGATTGGATAAAAAATGGCGGTTTTACGATACGTTCCATTTTATTGACTTTTAATTAATTTTATAGTCGATGCGAGTAGCTAGCTACTTCGGCGTGTTACTGATATGTCAACAATAATGTTAGATCATTTGAAATTTTGCTGTAATTGAAACAAATGGATGCTAAGTGATCGGATAAATGGATGCTTCCCGAGTCCTTTAATTCAATAACTGTACAGACCTATAAAACATTACACGACTGTGCTGTTATTGAATTAGGTGTTAGTACCGACAAATGACCTTGTTATGGGCGACAAAAAATCTTGAATAACAAAGAATGAAGAACAAAATTTTAATAAACTATTCCATTTATTGAATAAAATTTAAAGGTATTCGCACCAACTTTCACTGTAATGCCTCTGTTACTACAAACGATAATATATATTATCAACGGTATACCGTCACTTATGACCAGTAAAAAAAATAGATGAAAATTATTTCGACAGAACTTCCTTGCCCTTGAACTACAATAAAATATCCAGCTTTTTCAAAACATTATAAAATTTTATTTTTTTGAGACAACCCCTATATGTTAAACTAAAGATATTTATGTAACGTTAAAGCAAATGTAAAGAAGCGTGTTACGCGTTGGCTTCAAGTGGATTTTTTTTACAAAATTTTTGCAAGGACACGTACATAGTTACATCAAATTGGATAGATGCAATTTAATACTAATAATAATAGTCACTGTAAGTCAATTCTCACAAACATGATTGCACTAATAAATCACAAGTTTTGAGATGACGTCATGAATTTTGGAGAGGAATAAACAAAATAAAAATGTATCATTCTTACGATAACTTCAAAATGTCTGCAGAATTTCAAAGCTTCCGGTTTTACAGTTCCTGATGTAAACAATAAAATAAATTGACTCGTTCATTTTTTTTTTTGTCACTCTGTATAAGTAATTCTAAAAAATATGAATGCAATAATAAATCACAATTATAGCCTAAATAGGATTTATCGACAAAATTTCTAAATAACCTCATCAGTTTTTTTGATAGGATAAACAAATAAATTTTCATAGACGGAAACGGCAGACTTATTTCTTTGTGCTCTAGGGGCCATGAAAGGTCGAGAAAACGTAAAAGTATTCGATTACAATACTTGCTTCGCTTAAAAAATGTATACAATTTTGATATTTTTCCAAAACTCTAGATGTCTCAAGTAAAAACTCAACACGGATTCATAAACTACATGTCGCACTGTGAGAGCAATACTCACGTAACTCAAAACCAGCGTGTTTTGAGTAATGATGATTTAAAATTCCCAAGTTTTTATATATTATTTGTATCTTAAATACCAAAGGCTTCGAAATACATTACAGTCGTATTGTCAATCTATTATTAATCGTGTTTTTATTCATTTAGAGTAGAACCTTCTACTCGTTATAGAAAACAAGAAATTTTGACTTACGTGACTATTGCACTGGTACACCATATCAAATATTTTGGCTTGCATGTTAATTAATTTAAGACAAGAGCAAACTAGCAACACATTGTAATGAAAAAAATATAACAAAACACAAAACGATCACAGTATTAAGTCATTCAACATCTACACTGACCGGCAAAAAAAACCGGCCACCCTGAAAAATTTCGCAAAACCACTTTAAAACTTATTAATGTAACTAGTGATCGGTATTTTATTAAAGAATCATTCACTATTGACACATGATGTACAAATTAGCACAAAAAAGAAGACAATTCAACGCAGAATTAAATTTAATTTAACAAAATAACGGAAACAGACCAAGTACGATATTTTCTTAAAAAAAAATAATAAAGGAAGCTGTTGTTGTAAATAGTGTTTGTCATCATTTGATTATAAGTTTGGCAATTAATAAACGTTTTCACGCGAAAATAATTCCGTTACAGACGTCTTTCAAAGTGTCTCTCTGTTTCTGTCATAATTGATTCAGTCCATCGTATTTTTTTACTTATTGCTAAACGACCTTCATAAATATTGTTTAACCATTTTCATTTAAGTCTGATGCCGCCGTTGTCGTGATGTTCGGGAATTGATTGACTATTATTTCCTGATATACTTCCTTTCTATACGAAGTTACAAAATTCCATCGGACTTTTTTACAAATTTTTAATTTTTTATTTCGCGCTAATTAACTTTCCTACCTTTCCCATTCAAAGAAAAATTGATTTCCATGTTTTCGGTCAATTCTTAACTATATCAGAAGACATTGCATTTGTTGTATTCAATTTGTACCTAAATGTGTAGGAGTATCGATTATTATCAACATCGACTGAAATCTCATAGCTTCACAGCTTACTTGCATTTCACTTAGGTTTGAGATACGGCAGTCTTGCATTAAGTGCACACGTAAAGTTCGGAAATGCAATACAAACATTTTGATGAATCTGAGCATTACGCAACTATTAAAACCGTTTATACTTACGTATACTAAAACTACATTAACTTTTTTATGCATTAATGATAAATTTAAGAATTCGGCAAATTTTGACTTACGTGAGTATTGCTCTCACAGTGCGATGTGTACATCTATATTATTTTTTACAATTTAAAACCCATTTACTATGTACAATTTTGGAGTGACGTCATCACATTGTTGGTAGAGATGATTAGACAAAGTTTGTTTAGTGTTTTATTATCTACATTATATTCATAATACACATATAAAATTTGTCACAGACGGCAGACAGACAAACAGACAGACAGGCAGACAGCTAGAAAGACAGACGGAATTCGAAAAGTTTTTGTACCAGGTATATACTACATTGAATATCAGGCGATTATAATAAACTACCTCCCATCAACATTGCGGCAATTTTTGTTATTTACATGATATTATTAACGTTAATACTTACAATTTTTAGGTAATATTAAGTTTCCTGTAATATCAGAATACATTCCGATACGTAAAATACACGGTGAGTATTATAATAACGCCTCTGCCAATCCACTTATTTGCAAACGTCTCATCAAGATAGTCCCTAACGACTCTGTGATAAAAAGGTGGTGCACCGTCCTGCTGAAACCACAGCTCTTGTCGGAGGTTGAAAGGAACATTTTCTAATAACCCCGGAAAATCATCTGTTACTTTGCCTTCGAAGAAGTATGGGCCAATTACGTACTCTGCAATAATACCGGCCCACACATTTATGGAATAAACATTTTGAAGATGAGCTGTTCTGATCCAGTCTGGCTTATTTTGGGAGTAATAGTGACAGTTGTGACGATTAACAACCCCGTTATTGCCAAATCTTGCTTCATTGCTGAACAAAACTTTGAATAAAAAATTGTTGTCCAACTCTAGTTGATGTTGCATAAAATTGCAAAGTTGTATTCTTCTGGGAAAGTCTTCTTCATTTAGATCTTGTACTAATGTGACATGGTAAGGGTGGAACTTATTCGCTCTCAAAATTTTTAAAACGGAAGATTGATATATTCGTACGTGTCGTACTATAAATCTTTGGCTCACATGCGGATCATTGTGTACGGCTTCAATTACACGAATTTCATTTTCGGCACCAGTAGCAGTAAGTCCTCTATGTTTCTTTCGGCCAATTTTGTCTTAACGTTTTTTCTAAACACCTAAAGATTTGGTCGGATGGCGGCATTTTTTCCGCATTCTCCAAAAAGCAAGGTCATATCAACCTTTTCATCGTTCGTGTATTTAACCCTCATCTTATCGCTAAGACTAAAAACTTATTGGAACTCAAAACTGACAAATAGAATTATTGTGAAAGTCAAAATTAACTACTAAATAACTATGTTTGTACATTTTAGAAAAATAAAATACATGAAGAGTTACATATGAGATATGTATTTTGTGTTGCATTGAAATTTGGTCAGGGTTCCAGTATTATAAACTCATCCTATATATCTTCTAGTGGTCAACGTTCCAAAAAAATTATAAAAAGAATGTTTCAAACTTACTTTTTATGGGTGGACATATATTTTAAATACGATCAATTTATAATAATATGTTCTATATATGATCGTTTTCCGGGTTGGGACCGTGTCAATTGAGTTTTTGGGCTCAACGTTTCGCACACTTTCGTAAGTGGCGTCTTCAGGAGCAGGGTTGAGAAATTAGGAATAAGGCAAAAGAGCACAGTAACTCAGAGACGTGGTGGGGGAAATCAAGTCTGCCACTCAACGTCGACTTAATCCCAATTCTGACAATTATACGTTTGCATTGCGACACTAACTACTACATTTAGCTTCCCTCTTCAAGCTGAAACAATGGTGTATAGAATTTCAGTATTTTTATCCGTTCTCAAAATAAGGCCGCGGGTTTTCATTTGAGATACCTGTATCTTAAAATGGAAAATATGGAGGGATTAATTAGCACATTATTTTACACATTTTGCATAAAATTATTCAGAAATCACATCAAAACTTTGTCAACAAATATTAACCCTGACTTATATTTTACTCTATCTGAACAAGGTTTGTTATTAGAAGTACATACAAGAAACGTCATTACCCTTAAATTTTTAATAGAACAGTGTAAAATTTTAACAAATAAATCCTATCTAAAATGTGCAAAGTATGATGAATCTATATTTGTGATTTATCATTCCATTCATATTTTTTAGAATTGCATGTGCACATTGAATTAATGAGTTTATTTTATTGATTAAATCAAGAACGACTAACTCCATGTTTCCAAAAATTTTGGAATCCAATACTGTTATTTTTTATTTATTATTAGTATTATACTACACCTATCCAAAATAATACACGTGTCCTTGCAAAAATATTTATTGACTTCATCACAAAATTTTGTTAATGAAGATCTCACTTGAAACACACGCACAGCACGCTTTTTTACATTTACTTTAACATTACGTACACACCTTTAGTTTAACTTACAGGAGTTCTCATAGAAAATAAAATCAAATTCACAAAATCAAATTTTGTAATTTTTCAAAAAAGTTCTGTCAAAATGACATTCGACCAATTTTTGCTTCCCGAGCGTTGGCTAAGGAAATATAGTAATTGAGTCCTTCGGGCGAATTGTCACTTTCATACATATTTTCTCGACGTGCCATGACCTCTAGAATATGAAAAAATGGGTCGCCTGTTTCCGTCTGTCTGTCTGTCTGTTATCTGTATCCATTTTTATTACATACGTTATCTCCTAAAGTACTGGACCAAATATTGTCAAATTTTGTATGTATATTAGGAATATCATGATAGATGGTTAATCGCTAAAGAAAAATTGACTAACCATCTCTGTAGGTAAGCGGAGAAAAATATTGTGCCTCGGTGGGATTCGAACCCCACGCCTCTAGCTCTCCGGGCAAGCATCCTAAGGGATGATGTCATCTCCAAAATTTGTAATAGTAAAATTTTTTTATAAAATAATATACTCCTGCACTTGTGGATGTGTGAATCCGTGTCGAATTTTCACCCTGGACATCCAGATTTTTAGAGAAAAAAACTCGGTTGTCTGTAAAGTCGGTTTACTGACGATAGTTGAACGTGACAACGTCTTAAGAAAATACTGATGGAATGGTTTTGGGCTTTTGATTTTGAAGCAGCGATTATTGGCTGCGCGAATGGCGTTGCTAAAGTAAATGCTACAGCATCTTGAACCTCCATGGGTTCACTCATTGAAGGTAAAGGCTTATTCGTAACATCCTCTGGTTTGTCAAGCTTTTTTTCCATGGTGCGTTTGTAAGCAGTTCTGCAAAATAAATCGTCGTTCGAAACAATTTAAATAAAATTCTTAAAATATTATCGTTGTCACGTCAAAATTGACACTACATTCACTTTTCACTGCACTTGATACTCGACCAAAACATGTAAATGTACTATAATATAGCAGCTGTCCACGCAGACGCATCGCTCACTCAAGTAGGAGAGAGACGGATGGCGAACGCTGCCGAACGCGAAGGCCGATTGTGCCTCTTTGTCGCTCGTTCCGCGTTCTCGCTTGCACTTCAAGCCTTACATGGGACGCCTCAGAGCGAGGTAACGGCGTATGAGTCATGCTTTTTCGAGCGTGCAGCCGGCTCCATCGATTTATAAGACGTTGTCACGTCAAAAAAATTAAAACCGTATAACAAAATTTTGCAATTTAACTTTGAAACGGCAAAACCGAATGCAGTGAAATCTTAGAAATATTTTAAAGTTATCGTAATCATGGTAAATTGTTAAGCAAAATTTATTCCTTTATCCCATCCCAAAAAATTGATTACGTCATTTTGCATTTTTTTCGAATAAATAACAAAATATTATAACTGTATACTTGTGATTTATCAACACACTCATAGATTTAAGAATTACTTATACAGGCTGAGTAAAAAAATTAATGAAAGGATCAATCTATTTTATTGATTAAATCAGGAACTGCACAACTCAGTGCTTTTAAATCTTGCAGACGTTTTAAATTTTTCGTAAGCATGGTAAATTTTTAACCAAAATATATATATTTATCCCCATCAAAAAATTGTTGATGTCTATACTTGTCATTAATCATTGCATTAAAAGTTTTTAATTTGCTTATACAGGGTGATTTTATTCATTTATAAACGGCCCACTGCATTTTCCCGAAAATTTGGGAATACAATACTGTTCTCATTGGTATTACACTACACCTATCCAAAGTCATATGTTCTTTGCAAAATTGTTGATGACGTCATAACAAAATTTCCTTAAGGGAAAACTCATTTGAAACGTACGCGCAGCGCGTTTCTTTACATTTACTTTAACATTACACACATATATTTACGATGGAAGTTCTGTCAAAATAACCTTCTACCAATTTTTTTAATTACGAAATAATGTTAAACCTGATAAGAACACAACAAATATTTCTAGCAACCACAAGCCAGTGATCGGAGTTGCTAAGGTGGCTTTCAAGTGGAATTTATTTGATAACTAATGCTCTAAAAATTCTTCAGTTTTAAGCTAAGATATATACATATACATTTTTTTAAAAGCGAATGCATAATTTGAAATGATGAAGAAATAGGTTTTATTTAATAACAGACTACAGAATTTTATACAAAAAAATATGGCCATACGTATTCAGTTATGATCGCTATGTTACCGCAAAATTTGTTGCTGCCTTTCTCGCCCCTATTTTAAATAGTTAAGGATAATAAAGACAATTTGCAAATCCAGCACCAATTTTAATACAGTTTTTGTTGAGGTAGTAACGTTGCCACTAATAAAATAGCTAAATGGCATGCCTTGTATGAGCAACGCCAATATCGTTGAGCTAAACAATATATGCCAATTTTCAAACCAAATAAATTGAAACATATATCAGTGCGACTACGACAGTAATCAAGGTATTTTATTTTTTAGGTCTGGCAGAACCGGCTCGAGGGCATCGTTCGAGGAGCAATGATGCATTTTCTTCAGCAGTTCTAGCACGTCCATTTTTTCTTGCCATAATAACGATGTTGGTTCTGAGCATTTTTCGGTGACGCAGTAACCATTAGATCGTTTGAGAATCAATGAAAAATTACCTGCCTGTCAGAAAGGACATTTGTGAACTTTCAAAACGAGTGTTTTAGTGCAGCGACATTAACAAAAACTCAATAACATTATATCCATCCATCATTTAAAAAACTGTGAAGAGCCTTTCAGGCTTCTTAATACATGTCAGTACGTACGAATGGCGCTTTTCAATTTGGATCAATCATACCGCGAACTCTTTCCTTCCGATATTCTTACAGCGAGGACTTTATATATTTCCATATTACAGTTGCTGGTAACATTGATTTGTTCTTTTTTGTGAGGCAGAGATATGGATTTGTTGTATTTTGGCTGTTTATATGACGCTAGGACATTTTGAGATAGAAAGTAAATATACATTTGTTTATTATGTGAAAGACTTTAATGACATTAATTATGGAGGTGTGTGTCTACATCGTCTGTTTGAACAACCGATATCATGTTTAATTAATCAGTGGTAATCAAAGGGATGTTTTTGTCATTAGATACATTTACCCTCTGCTTCCGTCACAAGAAATACGAAGGGGAAACTAACCATCATCCACCTAATTAATTACCTTGGCAACAATTAAGTGATTCGTTCGATATTTCATCAAAACATCCCATAGCGTCACTTATAAAAAGTCTAATTCATAAGCTTAAATTTATAAACAACGTCGAAAACTAATATCTCAAAGTGTCCATTTTAAAGAAGTACCAGTTGTTTTATTTAAAATTTGGTACTCCTTTAACAAAAACTTAAGTCAATTTGTAAAATTAGAAATCCACAGTCCCATTTTAAAATTTCTATTTTTTTAAATAATGTACTATACTGTAAATATTGTGAATGTAGGATTATATTTAAGTAACATTGTATGGATTTCGTAAAAGTTTGTATAAATCAACTGTAAATAGTTATGAACGATAGAAACTGTATTAATTTGATATGGAACATACTAATTAGTTTATGTATAATATTAAAATAACTCGCAAATAATACATTTGTAAAATTAATAGATTCCTGAAATCGAAGTTAGTAAGTATAGATATTATGTATTCAAATGGTGCCAAATCAAAATGAATATAGGATAAATGTACGCAAATATATGTAAATTATGTACGAAACTACTGTTTACTTTGCTCACCCTTAATAAATTTTCTTATTTAAATGTTGCACTTCTTTCAAATTTAAACATAAAATTCTCTCGACGGTCAGATAAGTACCTAATTTAAAGTTTATATATAAATGCTACATAATCGCATACTGATACTAAGCAAGGTAAGTATATATTCTTTACATAAATAAGATTACTAAAATTAATTCCCGAATTATCCATAAGAGCGTTTTAAGCAACTCTACGTCTAATATACATTGAATTTAACTACATAATGTTTTCATTTTTATGTTAAAGCTGTGGCTACATGTCCATTATCCAACAAAAGATGTCAAGAAATTTAGCAGCACTCATCTGTCTTACATATTATTAGTTGTTGGCAATAACAACAAATCACTATATCCAACTTTATTATTTATCTAAGTTTATATTTGCTTCTGAAGAACTGTACTTTGTGAGCGAAATGTTGAGCAATAAATATTTAAACGTAACTAACATTGATGCTTTAAGTCCGTCCATTTCCATCAACTTTAATTGCTGTACGAACGTCAAATTTGTGATTTATTTATTTATATTTTGCAAGTGAAAGAAAATAAACGTAAAATTATGAATTGCTTGAAAATATTCTCTAATAACAAACTTGATTAAAGTTGTCAACTTCTAATTCATTAATTAATTTCTCAGAAATTCACAAAAAAAAATGCTGTATGTAAAATACTATATAGAAATTAAAACAATCTGATACAAATAACAAACAAATGTTTGAAAACTTCTTGGCCAAAGATATAGGCAGTGGAAGCGTAACTGTTAGGTTGCAGTCTCAGTTGCAGTTATAGCAAGATGAAGGCCATTTTCAACATTTTTTGCGACTTATTTCGAGTTTGATTGTAAAAATGAAATTGTATAGAAGAACATCTTTTCTTACCAGCGACACAATTTTTTAATTTAGAAAAAATAAAATTTTCAATCGAGTGCTGGATTATGTATAATTTATAGACTCTCATTTTTTTGTATTATTATTATTAGTCAGACAGTTGTTGAAACTATTTCTGTCTACGGTATAGATCAGGTGTTTTTAGGAAAACCAGTTCACAACTGTACTTTCAAAAATTTTTAAATGATTTATCACCTCAATATTTTACATTTGTGAAATTATATCAAAAATTTGTGCAAGTATCAAAAAGTAACAAAGAACCTGGTAAGAACGATTGATTTACGCCTTGTGCCTGGTCTAATTCCCAAAAAGTCATAGGAAGTATCTCGTTGATAAGAAGAAATCGACACCGTCCTTTTAACCTTCTCCATAAGAATTCCATTAGTTCAACCGTAAGTTTAGCAGTATAGAGAAAAAAAAATTGAAAACTGTCCTAGAACTAAATTGAACCCATATCGAATACACAAATTGTTCATGAGCTCTCTCATTTTCGGCTATGGTGGTTTTAATCCGAAGTTTATGCGTGGACTTTGGCCAATTGATACTTTCTGGGACTCCGCACCATTTCTGTGAGTTTTGAAGGTTTATAATTGCTTACGTTTCTCCTTTAATTAATAATTATTTTTCTATCATTACGACTTGTTTTTATTTGGACGTTTTTCATTAACCTTCATTTGTTTTACACTGTACCACTGTACTCTTAGAAACTTTACGGTGGTCCAGTCTGTTTAATTTTATGAGTCGATCCCGAAGGGCCGCATTTGGTATGAAGAATTGTCTCCGTCTTTCTTTTATTCTCAAAATGACTAACGAATGTTTCAACTGTGAGTCCTGAGAACAATGATATGGTCAATAAAAAGTCCTTATGGACCTGTACTAAGTGTGCATCTCCTACTAGTAATGTTATTGCTGGCGATAAAATCGAGAAGATTATTAAGCAGGACCAATCCATGGATGATAATTTTAAGAGTGTCATGGATAAGTTAACATTCGCTGAGAATAATTATCGTCTCATTCATGAAGTGTGGTCAAAATTTAAGAAATCTAACTAAAATGTTGGCTACTTGTGATTTAAATCATATTGCTTCGAAAGTCGCAAATTACGTTGCACTAACATTTTACTTTTAATGTGCCAAAATCCAATGCTTCTTCTGTTACGCAAAAAAAAATAGAAGGTGATCTTAATAGTATCAAAATACTACTGTCTTTATCGAAATCATTTACACAACGCAGAAAAATAATATGGTTTCGTTCTAGTAAACCTAACCTCTTCGGTCTAATGAAAATAATCCTGACCGTAAATATTCACCCAGATTTAACGAAAATACAGCAGGATTTTAATAATGCTGTGAGGATTGAATTTAAAGGGTAACTGAAATGGATATACCTGCGTCTTAAATATAAAAGCAACTACCTGTTTATTGATTAAAAAAAGCTCGAGGAATCAGGCTTCAAAAAAGTAGCTAATTTTTAGTACCAGGACGTTAGCGGTCTTAAGTCTAAGATCAACGATTTTTCCGTTAATGTGAATTCCAATATTTATGATACTTTAATTCTTTCAAAATCTTGGCTCTGTGGTGAAATTTCTAATAAAGGATTAATTTAAGTAATTACAATTTTATCCATCTAAAAGTTAACGAGTTGGATTTGATTGTGGGTGGAATGTACATCCCACCGATGTCTGTTGCGAATGTATAAAAATTGTTTTTGTTTTTTGTGACTTGGAATCAGTTTTTGCTCAATTGCCTGATTCATCATAAATAATAGCTGATAATTCTAACTTGCCTCCATTTATACTTGGAAAAAAACTGAACTTATCGTAAATTTACATTCTTATTTGTAAAAATACCATAATGTTATGAAATCGAGTTTTGTTTTTATGAACATTAAAGAAGTTAACGATATTCCGAATAGGAGAGGTGTATTTCTGGAACTTATCTTTACTAATATTAAGTAGTTAATCTAGAAGTCACTCTCCATACTTGTGGCGTGTACCCTCCAAATCTATTCCAGCTTTATCATCTGAAATGCACGTTTTTGATTTTTCTAAAGGCAACTTCACATGTGATCTTTTGAATAGATATTAATCATATTGTGCATTGGTCTGTTGAGAATCCTGCTTAGTTGGTTGTAATTTAGATGAAAATGTAGTCATATTTTATGATATGTATAATTTTTTCTGATTTGTAAAAGTATATTCAAAGTCATTTACCATAGAATAAGGTACCTATACTCTGGGCGACGAAGAATTATAGTAAACGAAACGCTCATTCCTCCGCGCGTAATTTGAACGTATTCGTATTATTGGCTGCTTCACAACTACGCGCTAAATCTAGGAGAACGTTACACACAACCGAAATTATAACAGAAAATTTGTTCCATTTGTTGTTGTCCAACAGCTGACAGCGACGCGTTTGTGTTTTCTTTCCCAGTTTGTACATATTTAGAGTTGTAGGCTTTTATTTTTGTTAATTACTTTAAGATTAGGTTTAAATAAGTTAAGGTTAGTTTCGTTTTTTGTATATTTAAGTACGTCACGTATTCGAGAGTTAAGTTAGTTTGATTGGTTAGTTTAGCTTTATATGATTTTTTGTGATTGTTGGTGTGTGTTCGGTTGTTTTGTTGTTTAGCGGAAGAAAATGATTCATGCGATGAAATTTAGTTTTTGTAATAAATTTTTAAAATATAAGATCTTTTATTTTGTAAATCAATAATATATGAACTTAGTATCCTTTTGGTTATATATTAAAAATAAATTATCGAGTTTTTTGAATAATTTTCAGAATATAGCATATGGGATATACCGTGAAGTTTTTTTTTTCTCTGAACATAGTATGTTGGGCTGCATATTCATCCTCCAATGGATTAATTTGGACTTTTAAACACTGAACATAAGATCACACAAGATTCGTAATAATTGAGGAGTAGGCCATGTCAACGATGATATTTACCGTAAAATTTTTGACGAAATTTTTTTAAAAAGGTCAATAACGTAAATTTTGATGTTCTTTAAACTTGTACTTATTACAATACCTTAATATGAAGACAATAGTGCCAAATGTCAATCTTTGACATATCCTAAATCTCGATTAGATTTTATGTTCAGTTTTTAAAAGTCCAAGTCAATTCATTACAAGTAGGTATGCAACCAACTTAACATTGGTCCTATTTTCCGACAAAAAAACCTCACGGTATATGTAAAACACAAGGTTAGTTAATAGAATAAATGACTTTGTGTAAAACACTCAATTCTGTTATCCTGTCATAGGCAACCAACAATATATCTACGAAAAATACTTCTGCAAAAAATATTTTGCAGTGTAAACATGTCTTCTGCGTATTACACTTATGCGCAACAAGGACAGCCCATTCGGTTTTACAACCCTATTTCTTCGCCGTCCAGAGTATAGTTATCATCCTAGATGGTTCCAACAGTGAACTCAAATTCATTTGTAGGCGAAAAAAAGCAACTCATATTAACCATAAGCAAACTAGCAAACATAAAGATTATTTATTTTTTAAATCTCTAAGGGCTCAATATAAATAGCTGACTAAACAGCTATATTCTTGTTATATTTCTGATGACAACTGCAACACCTTAAGTAACCCAAATTTTTTTTGAAAATTTGTTCGCGATAAGAATAGGAATGACACCAACATTCCAACAGAAATGAAGCTACGAGTAGATATGCAGTATGCTACGGGTGGAAACGAAATATTTAGTCTTTTTGCAAATTATTTCTCTTCTGTTTATACAATTGATGATGGCAGAATATTTGTTTGTGATTCTGATTTTTTGGGTCAACTGAGTAATATTGATTTGAGAACTGATGTTTCTGATGCTATTTCCAATTTGAAATCAACATACAACTCTGGTCTTGACGGTGCTCCAAATATCGTGTTGAAAAACTGCAACAAAGTCTAGACTACCCTTTGTTGACGCCATTTAAAATATCATTACTAGAAGGGGTTTTTCCTCAGCTGTAGAAGAATAGTTACATGATACCAGTTTTTAAATCCAGATAAAATAATATTGTTGATAATTATTATAGAGGCGTTTGCAATCAGTCTGCTAAATTACTGGATTTTATTGTAAGAAAGCATGGTCATCAATTATGTC